ATTTTTCAGCATTCCTGTTTTAAAAGTTCTAACGAACCTTTCAGCTAATCCATTAGAAGCCAGATGAAATAATGCAGTCGTAACATGCTTTATCCCATGGCTTTTACAAAAAATTGCAAACTTTTTAACAGTTAGTTGGGGACCATTATTGCTAACAATGGTTTCGGGTAACTCCTCTATTGCAAAAATCGACGATAGAGCTGCTATTGTATCGGATGTTGCACTGTTTGTAAGCTGACAAACAAATGGAAATTGTGAATACGCATCGACACATATTAACCACATCGAGTTATAAAATGGTCCTGCAAAGTCGATATGCACACTTTCCCAAGGTCGCATCATTGCGAGCCATTTCTCAAATTCTTGTTTGCATAATGGATTGTTTGTTTTACATATATCGCACTGTTTCATCGTCAATTTCCTTATCCATGTTGACCCACAATACATGTTGTCATGCTAACTGCTTCATTCTCGTACTACCATTGGGGTAGACCATCATATAAAAGTTTTAATATTTGCTTTGTTAACGTTTGAGATATAACAACTCTGACACTATCTGTATGTAAACAAAGTAAATTATCACATACTCTTAATGCAGTTTTGCGATTAAAATATGGTTTAATATCGGAATCATTGTGATCCAGTTTTTCAGGCCATATTTTACAAAATTCATCACTTTACGAAGATTTTTGTCGTTTTTAGAATGCTTTACAATAACAGCTGCATATACTGGTGTTTTTATAACAATTATATTAAAACAGTCTTCCTCCTTGTCAAACGATTCATCCGTTCCTATGGGCAAGCGAGATAAGGCGTCTGCATTACCATGCTCTGTAGATTTGCGATATTTAATTTCGTATGAATAAGCCATAAGAATGATGGACCATCTTTGGAATCGGTTTGATGTCATAGGTGGTAAATGTTTATTGGGATTAAATATATTAGTCAGTGGTTTATAGTCAGTAATTAATATAAATTTTCTTCCGTATAAATATTGATGAAATTTTTTTACGGCGAAAATTATTGCAAGACCTTCTTTTTCAATCTGGCTATACTTAGCTTGATGTGCATTTAACGTTTTTGATGTAAAAGCGATTGGCCGTTCACTTCCGTCTGGATATTGGTAGGAAATGACAGCGCCGATGCCGTATGAAGATGCATCAGATGCTAATAAAACTGGCAAATGCTCTTGAAAGTGTGCCAATTGAGTTGCATTTACAATATGTAATTTTAACGAATTAAATGCTTCTTGCTGTTCATGTTCCCATTAAAAAGAAACAGAGAAACGAGTTTTTCAAATCGTTTACTGCGCGAAGACCACTTTCATCTGGCAAAATACCATTGGCACTTATACGCCGGCCCAAATACACTACTTCGTCACATAGGAACGAACATTTCTCTCTTTTACAAAGTATGCCATTTTGTTTAAGAATATGTAACACTTTTTCCAAGCATTCTAAGTGTTCTTCTATGGTTGGGTTGGTTATGATGATGTCATCAAGATAATTACCGCAGAGTTGTACACCTTGAATAAGTTGCTCAAAATATTGCTGGTGCACTAGCTATTCCTTAAACTACTCTCTGATACTGAAATAACCCTAGGGGCGTGTTGACTATCATTATAGACTTTGAATTTTCATCCAGCTTCATCTGCAGATATGCATCTTTTAAATCAATTTTAGAAAAATACATATTACATCGAAGTTTATGCAGCAAACTTTCTCTAGTTGGCAATGGATATTGTTCGATATCGATCTGGCTATTGACAGCTAGTTTAAAATCTCCACAGATTCTAAGTGAATTGTCTGGTTTCTGTACCAGAACAATAGGTGAAGCCCAGTTGCTAAATTTTACTTGCTCCCATATGCCTGCTCTTACTAAACGTTCTACTTCTGATTTAAAATCGTGTAATTGCGAAAATAGAATTTGTCGGCTTTTGCAAAATTTTGGTGTTGCGTTTTCCTTCAAAAATATTTGTGCTTTAAAGCAAGCAACAGCCAAGGACTCACGGTTGGAGAAAAAGAACCCAAAGTGTCGAACACAGCCATGATACTCACTTGACAACACCACAAAATGCCGTGCCAATATCTCAGGTGAACAACTCGGAAGACGTGCTGGAATTAGACTGTGATTGGCGCGCCATTGAAAAAGAAATGTCTCAGACGTCGCGGCCGTACCAAAACGAAATTTGTAACACTTGGCCCCCGGAGTTAGAGGAGACAATACGCGACGCACTCAGCAAACAAACTAAGGAAAAACGCTTCTCTTGTCTACGTACCGTCTCCGTTACTTATTTGGTGCGCATCAATAAGCAGAGAAGGTAAATTTTAACATGTAATAATAAATTAAAATGAGCTTTTGTATAGAAATTTGTTAGCTGTCTCTCTCAGCTGTTTGAATTGTGTGTTAAGATATGTAAACAATTTTGCAAACACAAGTGTTTTGTAATATCACATTAAATTTAAATAATTTCTTATAAAGTGACAATAAATATACAAATTAATAAAAATGGAAAGTCTAGGCAAGTTTCATTTCCGCTATGAAGAAGAGCACTGGCGCTGGTCTTACAGCAGATATGGGGGAGAGAAGTATCACAGGTAATAAGTTTAATGGATTCTTGAAATGTGCTTCAATAATTATGATAACATTGTGTTAAAGATATACCCAAAATTCGATTTGCTGTATGACATTTCACCATTGTCGAATCTGATGTTTCTGTGGAGTGTCTTATAAACCCACCAGAAGTAGAAGTAGAAGCCATTGCTATGCCCACAAATGTCCAAAATGAAATCGATTTAGCCAGTGCAGTGGAAGATTCTCCAACTCCATCAACATCGCACAACGTGATTTTACATCCTCCATTATTGCGTTACAACAACGCAGAATCGAAATGAAGGAACAGAAAGTAAAAATTATGAAGGAATACGCCGATTTAGACAGAGGACAAGTACTTCAAATGAAAAGTGCTTCCAATTCCTCACAAGGAATTGGAGCTGAAAAAATTAAAACCAGAGCTTGAACTCAAAAAATATGAAATTGATTTGAAAAAATCAGAAATTGTAAAAGTAACGTTGGATATTGATGAAAATAACAACAACAAATATTTCAATAGTTGGGAAAATGATATTTTTATATGATTTCATTTTAAATTTTAGTTATATATATATATATATATATAGTTTTAAATAATAGTTTTAGTTATTAGTTTAAAATATTATATTTATGTAATATAAAAATACAAAATCTATATAAGATTTACTTAAAATATTAGAGTTGTTTTCTATCATTTCGCAAATGAGTCGACGTTTGTTTTCTCCTTGCGCAGATGTGATATTGGGTTGAACATCTTCATTTGCAGAATTATCAGAAAGAGGTCCAGGCAATGGAAAGTCATCACTACAATTTTCTTGTATTGTAATATTACGTAAAATACCGCAAACATATATCCAACGCGTTGCCTCGTGAATGCTCTTATTGCTTTTAACTTGCAATTTTAGTTCTTTTAAACTGCTGAACCTCTCTTTTAATAAACCGAAACAATGATCAATGCGAATACGATAAGGGCTAAACCATGCATTAAATCTTTTCCTACGAGTTTCGGACAAGTCATTCGAATTTAAACGAAACGGCGTCACTACTGTTGGCGTCCATTTATAAGCACTATGACCAGCTATCCATTGCAAGTCACTGAAATACTTACTTGGGTTCGTAAATAACGAGCAGTTCTTAAATATTTTCTGTCGTGAACGCTACCAGCCTACCACCATATGTCGAATTTTTTTTTTGTTTGTCGCAAATTACTTGTACTTTAAAGCTGTAAATTTGCTTCCGAAAAAAGTATGCTTCTGGATTTTTAGTAGGCTTTTCAGCTAATTTTATCTCTGTGCAATACACGTAACCGATGCAGTGCGACAGTTCATGCATTGTTTCGGAAATAATTTGGTTACGTTCCTCGCTACTGGGCCAATATAAATAACTGTCTTTCATTTTAAGAATGACATCAAATACTCTTCTTGTAATATTTTCTATTGTGCCACCAAAGAGTGCAGACACTTTTCCAATTGAAGCACTCTCCCCGTGTTAATGTATTAACACCTAAGATATTGAGTTCACAGCACTTTAACTGTAACTCTTTATTTGAAAGTTGAGTTTTCAGCACTTGAACTAAACCTCTAGAAATGAAAGTGAGAGATCGAATATTGATTTCAATCTGATTTTTATTAAATTAAATTTTGCCTTAAATACTAAATTATTACAATAACAATATCAAAATTTTATTCTTTTCCTCTACCGTTTTCTTGCCCAAAGTGCAAGCTCAGCATATCTTATGCAACAAAATTTTTTTGTTGTGTCTAGCAACCAAGAATTAATGCCAATGTACTGGCCCTGATATATGTTACATATTCAAAGTTCAGTGCCACTGCACTTAACAGAAAAGTAATGCAAAATATTCAAAGTTCAGTGCCACTGCATTTAATCAAATTAAAATAAGCAAAGGAAAGCCAAAATTTGGATATTGCTAACATCAACATATATGTTCAACTTTTACAATAAATGTTTTACATATAGATATATATATTGACAATAATTAAATGTGTGAACACCCCGCTTGGGCCAAGCCTATACAATACTATCATTAGTTGCATTTTTACAGGAAACTGCTGACTTGCGTGAGCATCATTGAATACTTCATCATTCTTAACAGAATTAAGTATTTTTCTAAATGTTGCCCAATTAACGCGCATACAGCGTTTAAACCGAAACTCAGGCATTTGCAACAATGCATCTGTTAAAAATGTATCACACTTCGACACAGAATGCATTATGTGTGGGACAGCATACCGTGACGATTTCGCGATGGCCATATAAACCAAGAAATCTTCTATAACGTCAACTTTCTTCTCCATTATTTCTATTAACATAGAAAACACGCAACTTTTTATTTAAATATATGTACAAATTCAAATAGGAAATTACCGCTATCTCCAAATTCTTCAACAGAATTTAATTCCTCAATGATTATTTTTTCTAAAGTATTTATTAATTTATTTTTTTCACTTTGTCTTGGCATTTAAAATAATATAAAATTATATGATAATATTTCACTGTTAACATATGTTCCGCTTTTACTGTTGATACGAGTGCTGCCAAGGCATTTGCACAGAAAAAACTAATCACATTACGGGTTTGCTATATATATTCTTTTTTGAATTTTGTTTTGGAATTAAATCCTCTCTTCTGCAGTGTCAATATTAAATTGTCTAATGACTTCGGTTCTCGACGGTATTGCTATAATATCGCCATTTGACATTGAAATTGTCTGGTCTTACTATTATCTAGTCTTGATTTTGATAGTAGTCAAGAATACAATTGTATTTTTTGATAAAGTCTGAACCAATTATACCATCAGTCGGAATAGAAAAGTTATTATTTACCACATGGAATTC